TTTGCCTTAAAGCATCCACTCACTTGGAAAGTAACTATTCTCTGGCCAAAGCATAAGAGCTTACCTGGGGAGGCGAAAAAGGAGAAGGAAGCGTCTATCACTTTCTCATGTAACCCAGGAGCTGCCTTTGGGCAACTGAAGGAAAAGGAGCAGTGTTTTGCCACACTCTGCACTTCTAGCAATGCATCACAGACATTGCTTCTTCAAAAGCCAAGCATACTTTTCCTGACACATTTGTTCCCTGTACTGAGCAGGATGGATGTGCTATGTAGATGATGACAGTGGGCAGACGAGTGAGGGTGAAAGGCCTAAAGCCTCCTTTCCCAGGCATTCTGCTAGAACTTACTGAAAGTTTTTCGTCTTACATCACTTACCCAAAAGGTTTTTTGGGGGAAATTAATTCTATGTTTTGGGAGTGTCTCGTGGCCAGTATGTCTTCCTTTCTTTCAACATAGCCCAAGATACTCTGATTTCCCCCAAAGGGGGAGGACAGACTAAGGGAGGTGTTTTGCTTCATGTTGGCAGAGCACACCCTAAAGGGCGAAGTTTCTTTCTCATTCAGCTAGCCTCTTTCTAGTCTCTTCACGAATAGGAGGGGGATGGCTTGAAGATTTGGATTTCATAATTAATACTGATCCTGATATTTATGTTTTATAAATTCTTATAAATTCTAAATAGAATGTTATTAATGTAAGATCAGTATTATAGGTACTGATTGGTTCCTATTTCAGTGCAACACTCATATTCTCCCATGTTTCAGTTGTTTGGTGTCTCTTTTGGTGATTAGGAGAGGACAACATTCATGATTAAGAATATAAGTTTCCTGGGGGTTGGTGCATGTGCTCTAATATAAAAGGCAACATGAAATGTTTGAATTTCGGTTTGGTTTACAGTTTACTCCTATAAAATATGGATATTGCAATTCTCTTCATGATTAGAGTTGTCAGATCAGGGTAGCAAACTCCAGATGGCTGCTGGAGAGGTACAACGGGTAGACGTCTCTTTATCTCTTTGCTGCCATCTAGTGATTGTTCTGAATTTTTGAGGTCCATATCTAGTAGTCACAGCTATTCATGGCTAAAGAATTAAAGAGCCACAGTGACTTCCTTAAGCAGGACTGTATACATGGAAGATATGACCCAGGGAATCTACCTTTGTGGCTAGTATTGTCACTTAATCATGTAAGCCCTGCTTGTGTCACAAAACCACTGCTCCTCTGGACTAAGCAGTTCCTGAGGCTGCTGCCTCTTCCCAGCTTAGCAAAGTGTAAGTTTACAATAAGCTGGGTGGAAAGCATAGCATTTATACATAGTAATATTGTGAAATGTTTGTGTGTGCAAGGTTTGATATTTTGTTCTTTTAAAACAACTTTTCTTGTAACAGATCTGAACTCTGATAACTCAGGAGGTCCTGACTGTTCAGAAAATGCAACGGCCATCTCCCCGTTAGTTTCTACCACCAACCTTTTGCAGCAGACAGAGGACCAAATTACTTCAGGTTTTGATGGGCCATTTGTAAACTTGTTGCCACCTTTACTTCATGAAGACTATCTGCTTGGCCTTGATGAAGAAGAAGGCATCAGTGATCTCTTTGATGCTTATGACTTTGAAAAAGTACCTGCGTTGATGGATGGATTTTTATGCAGTTGATTTTTATTTCTATTTCATTTTTAAAAGTGAAACCAGAATACCTGCTGACATTCCACATTATATCTCCTCTTATCTCCTAACCCTTATTCCATTTCAAGGATTAGAAATTATAATGTTTGATATTTGTATGGAAATACTTCATAGAATAGTACAAACACAGAATGGCAGACTTTCTTATCAGAGTTACCTTAACCTCAAATTCAGGCAGCTACTGATTTGTCAATTATAAAAGAACACACACAGAAATGGGGGAAATGGCTAAGCCTATTTTATTCTGGTTTACGGTGTCTATAAGCTTCATGAAGGGCTAAAGAACTGTTAGCCACAAATAACATTTTTTCCTTACTATTTCAAGCTGTGCCTTCTGTAGAACATGTATGTTCAGCCTTTTGATTCAAAGAGTAACTACAAAGAAGTATGTTTGAGATACACAAACAAAAATGTGAAATAGACTTCTTCCAAAGTCATCTAGAAATATTTAAGTTTTATCTGTGCTCTATTTTTGAGCATTCACCTATCGCTGAGGAAATTAATAGCCTCAAATAATTTTTAATATGAAATAGGCTTTAAAGATATTGCTGTCCAAGGTAGAACAGAGGTGGTTACCCCAGTCAACACAGTATATCTGGGCAGCCTCTTAGTAACCTTAAAAAAAAAGTTGTGCATATCAGCTGTTTTAGAAAGAAGGGAGAGTAGGCAGTGTGGATTGACTCCAGCCTCCAACTCTCCTTATAGAACAGTCAGGGGTGGATTTTACCTTCTTTCCAAAGAGCTAGACTTATACAGCCCATCTTTGTATTTGGCTGGTGAACTGCACATAGTATCAGTTTCTGCATGTAGTTGTCAACCCACTTCACCTTCAGATGGCTGAAGGTGATAATTTTCCCCATGCTAGAAAGAAATCTTGTACTGAGGAAGTCACTTGCTATAATATAAAAAAGATGCACAGTTCAATTTCACTGTCTGCAACGTGCAATAGAACTGGTACATAGTTTGCGGTACGAAGTGGGGCTCTGTGTTAAGTGCCTACTAGAATTGCACTGTGGGCTTTTTTTTTTTCTTTTTTGCTAAGAAATACTATTTAAGCCAAGCTTCACTTTTTCAGTACACTGTGTTTATCTGAGAAGGTTAGTTGCATCTACTTCGAGTTTTGGAAGTTGATACAAATCTGACATTTCACCCAAAGTGTAAATAATATACTTGTCAAGACTCTCTTCACTGAATTTTAATTTATAACTCTTTGCTGATATAATGTGCTTTCTGAAAATGAATAGAATTCATACATATACACATAGTTGTATGAGATGTTGTCACTTTGGTTAATTAGTTAAATAGTTTAAGCAGTATACATTACTTTTTTCTACATGATGCTTAAAACATTTCTAAAATGTTTGTTTTAAATAATATATGTGCAGGTTTTCTGGTACCATTGAAATGCTGCTATAGACACTCACAAATGAAATGGCTGAGTAATAGTATGAAAGTTGTACGATTGAGCCTTGGAAAATAATTGTGTAAAGAAAGGCAACACATTAAGAACTGTTAAACAGTATTAAGTGTGTTTTATATGTGTACAAACACGCGCATAGTTCATTGGTTATTTAAGTTGTGTGTTCTTAAACTATAGTCATATAACAGTTTTGTACAATAGGAATGAATTTGTAAAGCCTGCAGAGTATTTTATAGTTGGCTTGTTATTTCTTAAAAAAAAAACCCACAAAACCTTAAACGTGAGTCTGTAAATAAAAATGTAGTATTTAAATATGTCATATGGAGGAACATAGGAGTTTGTGTGTGCATGAATGCTTTTATTGTATGAAGAGGATCTCTGGGTAGAATAAAATGAAAGGGAAAAAAATAAAATGCAGTTTTGTACAAATTACATACTTCCCCAGTGTATCAGTAAAATACTAACCTTAATATACTTTGACTAGTATGTTAGTTCTAAAAATGTGTAAAATAATGTAAAAAAAAAAGCAAGCAATTTTTCATTTGTAAGGGCAACCTGTTCTATAGCTGGGACTTTGCCTTATTAAATGTAACTGACTTTTTAAATGGTAATCAATAAAGCTTTATATCAGTACATACTGTATATGTTTCTTCCTGAGTAATTTTTTTATCTGCTTCAAATTATTTGAAATGCATTTTATACCAAAGTGATGAGCAATATAGTCTAGTCATATAGAAGTTGACTGAGCTGCCCATTATTGCTAAGCCACAAGAACTACATTCCAGCTGATGTTAGCAACAGTAAGACTTGCTTTGTTTTATTACTGGCTACAGTAATTTTATTATTACTTGCTTTGTTTTATTACTGGCTACATTCATACAACACACAGATTAGTGAACCATGTTGTAGCTAGCACAAAACTCAATCTATTCAATTAGTTTATAGCTGAGAGTGTTGTGAAAACCCAAAATGGAATTAAATTATATCACTGATTGGGAAACTATAGATATACAGTATTTCCTTTTTTAGTGTGTTGCTACAATGGTGCATTGCTGACTCATATTTGGCATGTGATGAGCTGCCATTCCAATATTTTCACATGTGCTACTACCCAGCTAGATAGTCACTACAGTATATAACTGCATTTAATATACTTTTTATAAGCGAAGAACTTTGAATTTGTCTCCTTGTGGACTTGGCAATCCAAGATCTATTGGCCATTATAGCTGAAACTGCAGCAAGCTATAGTTCAGCAACAACTGAAGGTCACAGGTTACCTTCCCAAACAAATTTGTTACTTTTGGTTTGCTTCAGCCTATCAAGATCTTTCTGAATTTTGTTCGCTTCCAGAGCATTGATTATACCACTCAGCCTTACATCATCCACAGATCTGATAAGTATTCTGTCGACCTCTTCATCTGAATCATCAATGAAAATATTGCACGGTACGAGACCTAGAATCAAATCCCATTCCTCTGTCTTGGGGAAACTTTTTTTCGAGATAGAAAATAAGAGTGAAATCTCTTTTGGTGGGCTCTTAAATCCTTATTTCTGCCTAGCTTCAGGCCAAAGCAACTACAGCTAATTCACAATTTCTAGCTGCCATAAGCTATCCAAATTTAGTGGGAAAAGTGGGAAAGTTCTGAAAGGAAGAAACTTATTCTAGAACCAAATATAAGGCAGCACAGAGTGTGCATAGTAAACAGAAAATACAGTTCATCAAAAGCTGAACCATTTCAGTAGATTACTAAACCACCTTACTGATTAAAATCAGCCTAGCATTTTGATCAGCGTAAATTCATGAACACCTATTCAAACAGTAAGTCTTTGAAGCGAGTGAATACTTTCGCAAGTTACTAAAACTTCAATACGCATGCGCCGTTTCCTTAAATAGCTACTGCATGACCTTTCAACCCAGCAAGCAAGAGAAGAAATCGTCGTGCTGGGCAGCTCTGTAGGGTTGACAGAAGAAGCGCTTTGGAGGACGGCCACGCTGTAACATCATAAAGCAGCCGCGTGATCGGGGTGAGAGGGAAATGCAGCTCTTTTAAAGTGTTGCCAATACGTGCGAAGTTCCCACGCCCGCGTCCCGAAAGCACCTTTTGGAGGTGAATCCGAAGCTCTGCCTAGCGCTAGAAATCATAAACTTTCTAATACACAACCACTCACAACCTTCATTCTTCGTGTTACTCCCCAGAGTTTATAAAACGACAGACTGAAATCCGCTTTGTAGTTCTATTTCCTCTCATTCAATATATGTAGATAGATAAATCTAGTTCGGGAATAAATGCTGCCTAAAAAAAAGTCTCCCGCGGGTTGACCCCTTTGGGGTTTGTTTTTTTTTTCTTCCCCCGAGGATGCCTTTTCGTCCTTTCCATTTCATCCACAGCCCCGGGACGTCGCGTTGATGTCCTAGGAAAAAGTCAACCAGCTCTTACTCCGCTGAGCTCGAATTCTCACTTTCGCGAAACGGAAACGGACCAAGTTTGTTCTCTCCGATACACCGTCGCAACGTCTTTTTCTTTTGACGTGTGAAGGGGCGTGGCCATATGATGGCGCCGTGCATGTGCAGCTGTTTGGAGTCGCGCTAGGGGCTTCAGGTAAGGTGTTTGGTCGTTACGGTCGGCGCCCGCGTTAGCGCACCGCCGCTCGGAGAGGAGGTCTGGATTCCTTCTTCCGTGGGCTGAAGAATAGCTTGCCCCAGCGGTGCGTTTTCGGGGCGGCCACCGGTGGATGAGATGCGCTGGTTTCTTGTCTCTCAGGGGAAAACCCCTTTCTGAGATCTCACCCAGTCGGTTGCAAAGCAAGCGATTTCCGTATGTGCCAGATATATGGAGAAAATCTATATGATCGCTAGGAGTCGAAAAAGAATTGATGGCACATAATCAGGTATATTAGAAAATCGAAATGGATAAACCTGTGTTGGAGCGAAGCAAGTTAAAATAAACGGTTTGCCACCTGTCTTAGACTTTTTCTAAAAAAATCCTCTATTAGCAGTGTGGGTGTCAACCCTTTACACCAGTGTTTTTCAACATTGGCAACTGTGAGATGTGTGGACCAGCTCCCAGAATTCCCCAGCCACCATGAGCATCTTGTTATCCGAGGGGTTACTAGATTGTAGAAGGAAGAGAGCGAGTTTGGTCTAGTGGTTAAGGCCCCAGGCTAGAAGCCAGGAGACTGTGAGTTCTAGTCCCGCCTTAGGTGTGAAAGCCAGCTGGGTGACCTTGGGCCAGTCATTCTCTCTCAGCCCATGACATCAGCTTCATGCAACAAGCCGGTGGGTCAATTCCTGTCACAACCAATTGGTTGATCTGAAAAAAGTGCACCCTGCACCTGCAGGAAAAATGCTGGGATGAAAAAAAACAAAACACCTACATTGTAGAAGGTAAAATGAGCAACTCTAGGGCTAAGATGTTTTGTGTCTTTTAAAATAGTTTTAATTTAACAAAACAAAGAAAAAAGGATACTGTGGGCCTTCATGTTAATCTTTTTGCTCCCATTTCCATCACCTGATGCTCTTTTGGGGGTCATAGCTGGGCTGCTGGATTGCCTTCAAACTCTGTTCCTTAATACACCAGCAATAATGTGTTTCACCATTAATTCAAAGTTTCCTGGTTTTTTTTTACTTAGTATATAATATAAACTGAATGGCTGTAGTTTCTCAATACATTTTATGGTATAATCTGTTATGTGGGCCAATTGTGGTTCATTCCATAAATCATAGTTAAGCAAGTCATGGCTAAATAAAATGTGTGAATTCAATATCAGTGTTGTGTTATTCTTGATTGTGAGCTCTCTCCACCCTTTGTCATCTTACTTCTTAGAATGGAAGCCCCATATACAGTGCATTCGGAAAGTATTCAGACCCCCTGAGGTCCTGACCACTGTGGAACAGGTTTTCATTGAGGATATCTCTGTCTTTTGCTC